ATTAACTGGCCATTTATTAATTGCACTATCTCTATTGTATTTTAGCTTCGATAAGAAGCTGAGAAGATATTGGCTTTACAATGATATGTTTTTTTTTGTGTCTATTACCACTTTTTCTTACCGAACCGATTTCTTTCAATGATACGTCAAAAAATCATAAAATTTATCTAGTCAAAAATATTATTCTCAAAAATTGATAAAATTTCCCTCATTCTCCGAAAATGGGGCAAACCTCCAAAATAATTATAAATTGCTAATTTTTGAAATGTTTTCAATTTTTTTTACATCTGTATTTATATACATTTTTTATTCGACATACTTTTTTTTTTAATTGAACCATTTCCCTATATACCGGAGGAATTTAAATTAGAAAAATATCTATAGAAAGTAGAACTCTTTCGACTTAACTTTTGAAATTGTTCCGGAAAGTATGACATTTTTATATATGTATCTTAAATTAAAGCTAATGTAATGTACTTCATTATGGTGAGAGGTGACGACTTGGGCCACGCAACGGATTGTGGAGTCGCCACCCTCATGGCTCCCTTGCAAAAGGAAATCGGGTCGCTAACCACTTAGGCGAGGGTCTTGATCATAAATAGAACAGCACCCGGACCATAAGTGGATTTAAGAAATTAAAAAGAAAACCAATAATATGCACTTTGATGAAACCAAAGTGGATAAAAAAAAAATTATACATACATATACTAAAATATAAAGTGTTGTAGACTATAATACGCTGATACCTGGTAAATACAACAAATAGGTTTATTTGTTGTCACCAGTGGTGGACATACTTTAGTATGTCGAAAACCGTTACCTTAAAACTAGAGAGAATTATTTAAAGGGGGAAAAAAATAAGATACACGTGAATATTGAAGATATTCACGCAATAAAAAGATTTTTGTTGGTTAAGAAAATTAAGAGGACTTTATTAAATTATTAGTTAAGTTAATAGTGGACAAAACCCGAAGGTAAAAACCACTCTGCAAATAAAGGGACAAAAGAGAAAAAAAAAACAATTATTAAGACAAAAAAAAATTGTAACCTACAACTTTTAAATATTACACATGAAGTGTCTTCCGCATCGGAACAAGTCCGTGTACTCCGGACGCGGCGGATAATTTCTGTAATCTGACCGGCCGGACCGTACTTGGGCACTGCGGGAATAATATATATATATATTAATTATAATATGTATATATTATATTATAATATGTATATATTAATTTATAATATGTATATATTAAATATACATGACACACCACTGACCAATAACCTTGTATTTATCAATTATAGCTAAAATTATATACAGCTCATAAAAAAAATAACTTTAAAACAGAAAAAGGGCTCAAAACAATATATTAAATAAAATAAAATACGATACCCAGTCCCGAATGGGACTCATCCTAAGATGGGGAAATGGCCGACGCCTTGCTGAATTAATACATTATTAAATGACACACACGAAAAAAAAAACTATTATTGGCTGCACGCACACAGCAAAATATACCACGACGGTGGTTCAAAGGGAAGAGAGCACAAAAAATTTTAACACACCGAGCGAGATATAACGACGACGACAATTACGTTTGGGAGAGGGTATCAGCTTAACAATTTACAAAATATAAAACAGATAAAAATATGAACAATATTAAAATTATACAGGTATTGACAGTGGTGGCCATTGTATGTGTCATATAGGGAACGATTATTAAACTAATAAAGAATATTGTGTGTATAGCGTTCACCTTGACAGCAACAGTACAGTTCTCAGATTACACGGCCGGATATAACGTACGCGGGCCCATTAGCAAAGCAAAACAGTAATTCTATCAATATCATAAAATTCATATTTTGTCACGTTACAATGGAAAAAAATAATTTCGGACTTTATTTTGTCTTCACGGTAAAATGGCTATCAAATTTTTTGTGTAAAAATTCTCGATTTTATTTTTTATATTTTTAACTTTATAATAATATAACTTATTGAAAAATGTATGGATCAACAAAATTTTTTTATGAGAAATAATATTTGTATCCCTTTTTCATTCAACCCACTTTATCTTAATCAGGATATTAATAAGGAAATAGCAGATCATGTAGCTTTTGGTATAATCCACTATTTTTTTAAAATTAAACACTATCTAATGATTTGCATCGAAGCGTTTTTCTTAATAGTGATTTTAATCACTGTCAGATATCATTATGCTTGATCCAACTATGCCACGTCACCACTGTACCTTGACCCTCCTGTGCTGGGTTTTTGTTAAATATTCGTGTATACTCTCATGCACAGCACCAGAAAATTTATTAGGCTTACAAAACGGTATTCTTTTGGTCATTTTGGGTTTTTCGGTATTAATTTAAATTCATTTAAAAGAGATTTAAAGATAAGTTTGTTCAAGAATTCGCACTAGTTCTAATGCTAATTCTGTAACAGTTTCTGGGTATAGAATCCTCTTACTAATTTCGATACGAAAAATACTAATAAACCGTATACTTTGTTAGGTGAATATTGAGAAGCTTCTACAGAGGCGTCCACACTAACTCAACTAGTATTTGTTTTAAAATAGTTTTATTATTCTTTTAATAACATTTTGATCATAAATCTAATAGTTGCTCTAGATATGTCAATAGTTGATGGACACATAAATGATTATTTAAGTATGCTGATTTAATTAATTGTAGAGTTTAATAGTTCTATGTTATCTTGAGGATATAAATTTGGAATTTTATCATAAATTTGTTCAATGGTATGTCTGTAAAAAAATTTTAACACGATCGTTATTTTAAGAATAATTTCTTAAAGAATTTTTTAAGAAAAATAAAAAGAAAAAAAAAAGAATAATTCAGCTATTAGATAGTAATTAAATTCTGTGTAAGTACTAATGAATTTCTGAATAATAATACATTTATTAAAATCAATTCTCAAACGGAGTGAGGATTCCCAGAGCGAGTCTATGATTATATCATACAAATGATATTTGTTGGTAACTTTTTTGTTAGATAAATTAATTATTATATTATTAAGTAATTCTTTAATAATATTTATAAATTCGGTTTTAGTAGGATAATTTATGTGTGATGTAGTGATAACTGGTATTTATCAGAATAGAAATTTTTAATATTTAAGTTAATTTTAATGAAATAAATATATTAATATTAAACTCGTGTGTGTAAAATTATGTTTTGTGTAATACGTTCAAAATTAGAACCGACGGCAAGTTTGGTATCTATATTATTTTTATATAAATAACTTAATACTAAAGATACTTTTAATAGTAGAGAAGTTACCGTGATGGGAAAAGAGTTATTGGTATTAATAAATATGAAAAGAAATTTTTGTATAAATTGTGTTTCAACTTGATAATACTCGTGACAACTGTTATCATAAACAGTGTGTGATGCTCTATCATATGTAAAATTTATCAAATGTCGTTATAACCTAACTGCATGAGTAGCCTACGCTTGTTAAACTAGTAATACGTTGTGTGTTACATCGTGTAGCTTAATCTGTGAATAATGCGCAAACAGCCCTCAACATGTCGTGGTATCCGCAGAGTAGTAGTGAGAATTTTCGTTCCTTTCGGTACAGCTATTTAAAAGTAACCATTCCAAAGTACTCCGTACACCGGTACTTTTACTTTTTTGTAATTGAGTACCTTCATTGCGACCCGTTACCAAAACCAAACCAGTATTTATTCATCACATAAACAGTCGTATCTACGCGAGACCTTAGTAGATACAGTAAAAAATTTAAATCCCTGAATACGCTTATGCATTTTACTCATCAGGTAATAATTTAAAAGTCGCGAATGAATGCTTTTCGGAAAATGTTTTAATAAGAATTTTTTTTTAGCAATATATAGAAGATGATTTTTTTATCATAACCAAACCCACTCAATTACTTACAGAATAATAATAATTTAAAATTTTTTTTTTATTATTATCTTTAGCTACACATTATTCTTGAATTATTAACTATGTAATACTTTTTAAGTTCATCCCTTATGCCTGGTAAGGGTGTCAACTTTGTTTTTTTAAATGGTAACACATATTTTTAATTTAATAAAATGTTTGAGTTTTTAATTCAATAATAAATGGCATTTGAATTTTTAATAAAACTTAATTTGTTTATTAGATATAAACATTTAAAGTTTCAAATTTTTGAGTTAATATATAGGTATTATACAGAAGGGATTACAAATACAGGTAGCTAATTGATTTTTTATGATATTGCTATCACAATCACGGATTGTTTATTATCAATTATGTCTATCAATAGATATACTTTTTGTATTGTCAGTTAGTGTGTTTATAAACTCACAACAATGTGCCTTACTACCATTGATAATAACAATGCTTTGTATCTGCTAATATCGATGTCATAAAAAACCAATTAGCTACCTGTAATTTTAATCCCTAGTGTATTATTCATGTATATTAACTCAAAAATTTGAAACTTTAAATGTTTATATTTAATAAACAAATTAAGTTTTATTAAAAATTCAAATGCCATTTATTATTGAATTAAAAACTCAAACATTTTATTAAATTAAAAATATGTGTTACCATTTAAAAAAACAAAGTTGACACCCTTACCAGGCATAAGGGATGAACTTAAAAATATGAGGTATAATCAATCATAACAGTTTAAGCTATCATATTATTAACCAATATGTTTAATAACATACTCTTTTTTTTTAATTATATATATATGCAAGATTAAAAATATCTTCAAAACAATATTTATTTTAAAAAATATTTTCAATTTTTTCTTAAAATTTTAAATCATTTATAACATAATTTCGTTAAATTATTTAACTATATAAAAAACAAACGTCTTTTAAAATTCTTAATCAAAAATTACTATTTAAAAACAGTTACATTTCTGAATTTTTAACTGTAAGTCTATTACGCCTTTCAGTTATTGTGTATCCCGCTTTAGAAAATGTCTGTTCGCACGGGAAAGAAGTTGATGGAACACATAATCTCAACAATACAAGATTAAATAAGTTAGTAAACATCATTTTCCTCTCATTCCACCATAATAAAGGATCCGACTTTCTTTCTATAATAGGCTCATTCAAATATCTATCTAACTCAATAATCGCTTCACTAGTAGGAGTTTTTTTTTGATAAAGTTACCACCTTAAAAAATTAAAATTTTTTGATTAAATAACATAATAAATAAATAAACTTTTTTGTTGTTATACCTGAGAGTCAAACTGTTTCCAAATGTCTACGGCTTCAGTTTCACTTTGACTATTATCGTTCGAGTGGTCCTGTTGTTCTATATCTGTTTGATGTATTTCTTTCTGTTGCTTTGACAAAATAAATCCAGCTACTCGTTGTGCAATCCTGTCATTAGTACGTTGATATGTAAAATGATTAACAAAACCTTTTTTTTTTAAACGCAGATCTAAAAGAGTAGCTCCGGTAATAACTTGCTGATTTTCAATACCTTGAAATTTTTTTTCGGCTTTGGTGATCATTTGGGCAAGCATTGTATGAATTACTTCGGGTAACTTATTATCATTAAATTTATCTTTAATATGACACAATAGTACATTTGTTAAAAGTAATACTTTGGATATTGACACACCTCTTTCACTACTCAGTTCAATAGTAATTTCTTTAAAGGGTTTAAAAATATCACAGTAGTATTGCATTATATCACAGTCTTCATAAGATATATTCTCAATATTATCTAAAATTGCTACTGTAGATATTATTGATTCTTTCATTCGATTACATCTCTCAAACATATCGTGCGTAGAATTCCACCTCGTAGTTATGTCTTGAATGAGTTTTAAATCCGTATAGACCAATTTGTTTTTGCTTATTTCTTAATTTACTATAAGTCTGAGAACTACGTTTAAAATGTTCAGCTATGCGTTTAACTATTTTATAGACAATTTGTATTGTATCTAATCCGCTTTGAGCAATAGTATTAATACTATGAGCTAATCAAGGTATATGACACCAATTTTTATTCATATTTATGGCAGCTGTAATATTAGCGGCGCTGTCACCTACCGCAATTTTAACTTTTTCAGTTATTTCCCATTCTTTAAAACTATTATTTAAAAAAATTGATAAATTATTTGCCATATGCAATTTTTCAAAATAACAACATCCTAGTAAAAATGACTTTAAAGTGCATTTATTTTTGTCAATATAATGAATAGTTAATGCAACAAAACTGTCATTATTAAGGGATGTCCACCCATCAGTTGTAAATGCAATATAATGAGAATTAATTAAATTCGTTTTAACTTTTTCTTTAGTTTTTACGTATAATTGTGGAAAAATTGATTTAGATAAAGTTTTTCGTGAAGGTAATTTATAGCTAGGGTTCAATAAATTAATTAATCTTTGAAATTCAATATTTTCTACGAGGCTTAATAGTTCAAATTCTTTTGCAACCATTATCCCAAATTGCTCGTCTATAAGTTTTTGTTTAGACAGAGAAAGTGGTCGATTAATAAAAGAATATACACTTGTATGTGTAGGACAATTCTTTAATATATTATATATATATATTAGACGACGTTGATAGTTGGTCCGAACTAATTACCTGTTGTTGTTTTGTAGATATATCATCTGGTTCATCTAAATTTTGATCAAAATCAACGTGTTTTCTTTTTCTAGCTTCAAGTTGAACAATATGTTTTCTTTTTAAATGTTTTAGAAGATTAGCTGTTGAACCTCCCTTATAAGAAAAAGTATTAGTGCAGTATGAACACTTGGCTTTTTCATCACTTATGACCGAAAAGTGTTTCCATATTACACTCGTCTTTTTATCCATTGTATGTACAAAATATAATTAAATAGCAAACTTGTATATTACTTTAATCGATAACTGAAAATACACGCACGGAGTACCTAAGCGTTACACTACACAGATAGAACAAAAACAATAAAATGAAGGACAGAATTGAAAATTATAAAAACGATAAGAGATATAAAAGGTATTTTTAATATAGTTAACACAAGGGAGCAGCTCATAGAAGAAATCAATTCAACAACAAATCGTCGATAAAAAACTAATGAAACGAAACTAATATCAAATCTTTTTTTTCTTTTTAATATCTCATAATGCTCAAAAAACCTGACTTCATTAAACTTACACAAGCTGGGTTTGATAGTATATTGTATATAATTTTGTAAAATATTATTAATATTTAATTTTAAATGCATAAATAGTTGTATTTTAAAGTAGTGAATTAGGTACTTATTTAAAATTAAAGAAAATAATAATTAAACGATTAAAAAATAAATAAAACATCTTATGCATAGTTCTTTGCTTATACCTATTTGAATAATTTGGCTATAAGTTATTAATGTATTTAATGCAATCGAAAAATACTCAAAATCATTAAAGTACCGACGGCACACAACAGTAGAGTACCGCCTTGCACGAGTACACTAGACTTGTGTCGACCACCGCAGTGCCCCGACACCGATGACTAGAAGACAGAAATAAAGTATAACACATAGTTACAGCACTTCGCGTGACGACGCCGCCATTATTTAATCACTTTCCGGTTACGTGAATGGTGCCTAAAGCAGTTGAGCGCAGGTGGACTCATGCTATTAGATTGTATTTAGAATTGCTCTAAATGTTAGGCGTATTGGCCCTCAATCAATAATATTATGTTATTTGTCTTTAGTAGACATGTTTATTCTATGTAACAAAAAAATAAATAAAATTACTAACGGTGAATAATTAAACCCAAACTGATTTGCTTTATTCTAAAAAAAAAAATAACTTACAAAAATAATAAGAAATATAGAAAGGGAATAACTGCTACGTCTTTCTCCCTTGAATTGGTTCTTACAAACTAACGATCGTTGAAACTACAGGTAATCCTCATTCTCTCTCAGCCCGACAGGTAGCACCGATCCTCACTGACTTCAAGCTAGGCAGTTGGTCAACCGGTCCGAACTACCTGTCTCTATGTTCGCCGACACAATTAAAAATTCGTACAACTTTACTTTGTTATTTATTTATTTTTTAACTCTAATTGAGTATTCTACTACTATTCTATAATATTCAAAATATGTTGGTAACATATTATTTAATAAATCATATCTAAAAAAAAAAATGATTTTGGATTTCACGTAAATTTAACAATGGATTTTTACAATTATAATCAATATTTATAACACGTTCAATTGAGTAAATTTTTCAACATTTCTTACATTGTTCATTTGTTATTTTGAAGCGAAACTAAGAAGGTATTAGTCTTGTGATTCTGTAATTAACTAAATAATTTGTATGGGTTTCAGAATTTTCAATCTAATTTATTAGAAAAGAGACGATTCTAAGTGTTTCTATTTTTATTTATCCTTATGTGGTTTAAATAATTAATATTTAAAACATTTTTATTGACTACTAGCGGCTAAATTTTTTACTAAATAAAAGGTTAAATATATTAATCAAATCCAACATCTTAAAAAAACTTAAAAAACAACGGATGTATATTTTAAAAACATTATGATTGGCATTAAGTTTGACATGAAAAGTATCAAAACAATAAGATAATTGTTATTTCTAGAAAATAATTTTATTTAATTTGTATCAATTATCATTAATTTATTCAACAACCACTATAAGCACTAATAAATGTTCTAATAATTTTTAAACAACATAAATAATCTTTTTAAACATTATTTTAATAATAAATCAATGAAATATTTTCAAATTAATTTGTTGAAAAATAACTAGAATCATTTGATTTTTTATAATAATGATTTATTATAGAATACAATATAACAAATATTTTGAGTTAAACAATTTTAAGAAATAAAGTATATTTACTTATTTATAATCAACAACATAAATTCAAGATTAATTTAATGTAGTATTTACAGTAAAAATATTAAACATAAAACTAAAATCATTAAAAAATTGAATTCAAGTTATATAAATTAAGTGCATAAAAAAAATTATATGTTTTATAGTGAAATTTATATAATGAAAATACAATTATTTAAATTTACTTTTCAGTAAAATATGTCATCCGACAGCATGCTGCGGCAAAAATTTAAGAATTATAAGGTATTTATATTTATTTAAAAATCGGTAGTATGTTTTACGTGAAAATTAGAATATTTCGAAATTTGTATGTGTCTTTTATCGGTATAATGTCAATAATTAGAAAAAATCAAAATGCAAAGCAGTACTTAATTGAAAAATAGTGAAAGTGATTGAATTAATATTTAACAATAATAGTAATCAGCTGATTCTGGATACTTCAAGAATTTTTTATTAGTGTAAAGTTTGTTGTCGTTGGATAAGTATTTAGTGTTCATATTGAAAAAGCGGCCGAAAAACGCAGTGATCGAATCGTGTCTATCGTCAATATAATTATGTTGAATTTCCATGTTTAGATCGAATAGTTTGCCAAATTGTATCAACTAGAAAATAATTGATCGACATCAACTACAATTGTGATTTACTTATAGAAAATTGATTTATTTACCTCGTTTCGACCTGTAGTTTTAGGTATGTGGAGTGCTACGTTGGGAGCAATACTTCTCAACAGGTCGAAGAGTTTTTTACCACCTCCTTCGTAGTTGCTACACATATGCTTTTCAAGGCTGTAAACTTCGTGTTTCTTATACGAAGGGCCGCCCCATGGAGGAGACGTCACTATGACCTGTGGCTTATATTTTTTTAAGGATTCTGCGATTTCAAAGAAATCTCCCAGTATAAATGTAATCTTCTCTCTGACTCCATAAATCTCAGCGTTTCTTTTCGCGAATTCCAATTTATTAGCATCGTTATCCACAGCGATTACTTGTTTGTATCTTTTGGCCAATTGGATGACGTTACCACCAGCACCACAAAACGGATCCATAGCGACGTGTAGGCCTGGACATCTTAACGCTATGTGTGTACTTAAAATTTCAGGACAAACTGAATAAAATGATTCTAAAAAAAAAAACGTTAAATAAAGTAAAACAGTTAAGTTTGTTGAAATAATAATTTTATTACCATTGTCCATCATGATTCCTTCGTCGAATTTTGAAAACAATAAGTACCTCTTATCCCATAAATGTTTTTTAATGTCATTAGGCCGAGTTCTAATTGCGGAATTTTTGTTGTTATTATTTTCTCGTTGTAAATTTCCATTCATTTTAGTCTTTTCCAGGCCTTTTGGAGTAAAAAGTTCAGTTTTTTTACATAGCAACGTACTGTTAGTGTTAGATGTTATAATATTTTCTCTTAATTTTTTAGACTGTATTCTATTAAATATGAGTGAATTTTCTATTAAGGTGCGTTTTTCTTGATTTGTAGTAATTACATTTCCTGTCACTATTTCACATGGTTGTGTTGAATTATTGTTTTTTGACTGTATTAAGTCTGAGTTGTAAGAATTAACAGCTTTTACAGGAGTCTCTGTAGGAGTGTTAGTGGTCTCTTTTTCAATTTCATTATTCATTAATGAAATATTCGTATTAGTGTTTGAGGGCTCTTTTTCGGTTTCAATTATCGGAGTTCTCGTAAATTTATCTTCTATGAGCGATTCTTCTAAATTTAAATTTTTTGTCAATATAGGTGTGTCCAAATTAATAGGATGTGTAGTCAAAACTGGGCGGCAATTATTCATATTAGATTCTACTGGTTTTGTTGAAGTAATTTTCTTCATAAAAAGTTTCATCTCTAAAAAAGTCTGCAGCGACACAACTGCCAACGCAATAAACATAATATCTCTGATTACTTGAAATGGAATTATAAAATATATCACCAACGTCGTTATCACGAAAAACAAATGCGAATCCATATTTTTATATAAATATATACACAAAAAACTTAAAAATTTTTATTTATACTTAGAGAAAAATGTAACAGTTAAAGTGTTTAAAATATATACGTACTCATTTATCACAAAAAATAACTTAAGCAAAAATCACCAAACGGTGTCGATTTAAACAGCATTTTTTATCCTATTTATACAAAAAAAATTTACCTCGTTTACATATTATTTAAGCCAATTAATATAACAAAACATTTTTTAATTGGCCAATAATTAAAACAATTGTTTAACAAAATGTGTTATTTTGAACTACAAGTCTGCAACGTTTGTCTTCAATGAGTACCATTGATCTCATAGTTAACGTTTACAACCAATACTTTCTTTCCTAATGAAATAATATAAATACATTTGGACTACTCAATTTCTCTATACATGAAATTATGAAATATTTACAATTTTTTTAAAACTCCTGTAAAATTCAAATGCAAGTATTTACTATTATTTTTATCTTTATTCTACATTTTAAGTTTCTTTTTAACAAACTATTTAGTTGTATTTAATTAGTCATAAATTAATTTTGCAATAATTTTTACAAAATTATTTGAATTATTGAATTTTAAAACTTAAAATTACGATAAATTTGAACACTGGACATATAGAAATAAAATAGAACTACAAATAAAATGTCAGATCATAAATGACCATGGCAGTTATTTTGCCTAAGTACGCCGTTTCTAATAATTTTACTTTTTTTTAAGAACGTAAAATAGAAAAAAATTACTTTAATTTAAATCAAATAAGCAAATTTAGTGTCTTAGATGATTGTGGAGCTTGTCTCAATTTATTTTTATGATTTTATTGTAACGTCTTATTGTTATGTAAAACTAAGTATTTTTAATTTAAATTCATAATATGAATAAACTCAAGACAGATATTTATTAGTAATGTTTTGAATACCTCATTTACAACATAAAAAATAAATAAATTTATATTTTAACACTATACTTTGAATAAATTTACAAAAAATAAGTTTTATTTTATTCAAAATGTATTTTTTTTGAAAAAATATCATTTTCTTAACAGTTTTTTGCAAAAAAATATCAAGTTGAAAAATAATTTATGATCACGTCTTAATTGCATTATTTTATATAATAGTCGTTTTGTTTTGTACTAAATGAATCGAATCGATTAACCAAAATCAATATAAATATTAAAAAAACAAAATAGTAAGACAAAAATATGTCTAAATTAATTTTTATTTTAATTTCTTCGTCTCGTCGTACAATTCACATCCAAAAAATATACCATAAATGAAAATTTTTAATGAATTATAAGAAAAGTGTTCTTCATAACATTATTTAATATTACTATTCATATAATTATTTGAATAAAATATCAGTCATATTTTTCTATACAACTAAAAATTGAAATAATAAGTGTTTACTAATTCTATAATTTTTTTTTTTTTATTGCTATGTAATTACAGTGTTTATATGGCGATTATTATAGTAAAAATAATTTATATAAATAACGGGAAAATAAATAAAGGCAGCATTTCATAAAAAAATAGTTATATTTAATTCAAGTTAATGTTACTGTAAAAACATTTATAGTTAATTTTACCTCTAAATTGTTAAACGTAAATTGTCTTATTGTATTCGTAAGAAAATTAAGATCAAACTAGTAAAAAATAATTAAAAAATTGATACAAATTAAAATGTCTACATAAATATAATTATTTTTATTTTTATTTTTTATTCAGAATATTTACAATCTATACAACAAAATGATACAATAAGTAAATTTGATTTAAATTGATAATTAAAATAACATGAACTATTATGATTGGGAAATGACTCATTAGTCCCACCTCTAGCATGTTGTTTAAGTTAGTCTTTAGTTATTTAGTAGATCTCTATTCCATTGTCGTTTTAGTATGCGAGGTGGTTTTGAGGGTAAAGTATTTGTTGACATTTTATTAATTAGTTGGTTTCTATGTGATAATAAATTTTGATGAAATCGTTTGTAGTACATTACTGCAAGTTCTTTTACGTTTTGTATTTGTAGGTCTTTATGTAAATTTATGTTTGTTATGTACCATGGGCATTTGGTAATAAGTCTGAGTGGTATTGATTGAAGCGATTGAATTGGCTTTATATTTTATGGTTTTGCAGGACCCCAGATTTGGATTCTATAAGACCAAACTGGGCATATTATAGATTTGTACAATAAAAGTTTTGTTTTGAGTTGGAGTTTTGAAGTAAGGAGAGGACGTAGGAGGTGTAGTCTGTTTCTTGCACTTTTTCTTTTTTCTATTAGATATGGGCCCCACGTCAATCGTTTGTCAAGCGTAATTCCTAGGTATTTGATCTCTTCTTTTATAGATATGGGAATATTGTTCATAATAATTTGAGGACATTCTTGTGGTTTGAAATTTAGAACGAAGGTGATTTGAGCAGATTTATCTTCATTGATTTTTACTCGCCATTTTTTTGCCCATAAGTCAATAAGGTTGGCATGATATTGTAGTGAAAGACTGGCTGCGATTGGATTATTATTAATTGATAGTACAGCTGTATTGTCTGTGTATGTGGCTAAAGTTGTTTTATCCGTTTGAGGAATATCGGCAGTGAATGCATTATAAAGGTCTGGGGATAAATCACTTCCTTGAGGTACACCTGCATTTATTTTTTGGTATGATGAGAATTCATTTCCTTGGCGAACGACAAAGTGTCTGTTTTCCAAATATGATTTTATTATGAGAAAATATGGAGTTGGTAAATAATGTTTTAATTTGAATAGTAATCCTTCGTGCCAGACCCTATCGAAGGCCTGTGCTACGTTCAAAAATAGACCGATACAATAATGTTTATTTTCAAGTGTTGTTGCAATTTCATCAGTTAATCGGTGTATTTGATGTATTGTTGAATGTCTGTTGCGAAACCCAAACTGGGACGCCTTGCCATTCTATCTCTGCTTCTCTACGGCTCTCTGGAATTCTCAACCAAGATACAAAAAGTGAATGTGCGTGTGTTTATGTTTCATTCTTTGTTACAATTTATATAAAATCTGCACTATTTTTACCCTCTTTCGTAATTACTGAAAATATTATACACCTTATTTTCGGTCGAATACTTTTGGTGATATAAATATTCTAACACATATAAAATATTGGTGTTTATTTATTTCTTTTTATCTACATATATATATATATTTAAGCATACTAAAAGGTTACATGACTAGATTGCATTGTGTTCTATTACTTATTGAAGCGCCTCATCCTGGCTGGACAGAGTGTTAGCACAATAATATCATAGTTAATACTCCAATTAATTATAAGCATTCTAAAAAGTGTCTCTCCACTTATCGACTAGCTAGTCTGATCTCAGCCACAGTGCGGGCAATCGGAGTGTAGGACACTAGTATAATCTATTGTGCAAAGAACCGAAATTGAGCTCGCATCTACCCTAGATCACTCTTTGGACGACTGAAAAGACGTAGGCCACTTGGAAATAGTTTGTTGCACAGGACAGTTATGTTGTTTAGAAGTTCATTATTTGCTTTATAAATTATTAAATAATAAATATATTATGGTAAAACACCATATACAAGGTTAAAGACTATACTACATAAATATACAAAAGGGTTTTACAAAAACAGAGTTAAAATAAACTTAGATTTCACCTTGGGTAGATTTGATATAGAATTGTACTAGAAAAGTAGTTACGCGCGAGTTAATAATAACCTCTTAAATTTTGCCTTACTTACTGCACACTTGGCTTATTTGCACAAGCGTTCATACTCCATTCAGTCTTCTCTTCTGCCATACTTTGAATTGCTTTTTCTTACTTTTTAAGATTTTTTGAACGTCCTCATTCCACCACCAGGTTTCCTTGTTTCCTGGCATTCTACTACTCTCACCAACAATTTCCTTTGCAGTATTCTTTACACAACTAGAAAATCTATTCCACACATCATTTATGTCTCCCTCAACATTCCACACCATCCTCTCTTTTACCATCTTTACAAACTCTTTTTCATTTTCCCCTTTCAATTTCCACCATCGGATCTTTGATTTTTTCCCTGTGGTTCTTCTATTTTTGTTTATTCTCTTTCCGATACACCACAACTCCATTACCAATAGTCTATGTTGTATAGTTACTTTCTCGCCTGGTATAATTTTACAATATTTTACTCGCTTTACGCTCTCTATCTTCCATACAAAATAATCGATCTGTGATCTTTTCATCCCACTCTTATATGTTATATAATGTTCTTCCCTCTTTCTAAAATAAACCATAGAGAGATCATACGATACTGCGAAATCCAGTATTTTTTCTCCAGTCTCATTCTTTCCACTAAAACCATACCCTCTATGTACCCTTTCATATCCTCTATCATCTCATTACATACATGTCCATTCATATCTCCACCTATAACCTTATCCTCATTGCCAAGTAGGACTCTAATGCTGTCACTTTTCCTAGCTACTTCAACTACTCTATTTTACTCTCTACAAATCATGATAATATGATAACTATTTTATTTTAGTTTAATATTTTTAACTTAAAGTTTATATTTATAATTATTGTTATAGAGTAAGTAATTATCTGTATTATTATTTCCGTACTGTACTGTTTGCCCTAATGGGCGTAATCATCATCATCTTTGATGAAATAAATAAATAAATAAATAAATAAATAAATAACAATATAACACTTTGACAGGCTGGTTAATAGATTCTTTGCTATTATATCACACGTAGCTAATATAGAGAATATGTAGTTATGGTGGCAAAATCCAATTGTTCCCTAGTCATCAACTTAGTGTGTGTAATTTATATATATATATATATAAATTACATTATTCTATATTGGCCGTCACATTACACAAAGTGAAACGATATTGATAATTAGTTTACACATTGCATTTTCCCAGTTGAAACGATTCACTTACTGCTGCATATAATATTTTTAACAAATATTAAATATGTTGCCGCCATGTAAACGTTTTCCCATCGCTATAACCAAAGCCAACTATAATGAGATCAACACAGTAGGGTGAAGTTTTTACGAAACTTTTGATTTTATGCATCAATACAATCTCAAGAGTGTAAAAGAGAATTGAATTTTTATTTTTCAGTGTTGTGATAATGACTTAATTATAAATAAACACTCTTTTTATTATAATCAGACCTATACTACAAATTTATCTGATACTAGTGCTAAGTTAGACTGTAATCCTGGATGTTTTTCCTATATTTACCTTGATAATATACTAGAAAAGAAATTTACAAACAATTTTGTTCTTACAGTTTTTTTTTTCAAAATCAAAATTTATCACTAATTTGGTTTTTGTATACCAAGTTGTTGTCGGCCTTCTCTCTATATCTGCATTACCGCCGCTATCTTAGCGTTTTTCTATTTAACATATGAATATATCTAATTCCTGTTACCCGTTACAACCATGATATTGATAGTAACTACTATCATAACATAAAACTAAAAAGTGAAAAATAAATATAATTTAAAAAAACTAAAAAAACACACTTTTAAAGCACATCGAACTAAAAAGTTACAAATAATTTTTAAAATAAGCTTAAAATAATTATGAACAAAAAATACTAGTATTATTGTTATAAAAGCGTGGGTACTTTGTGCCATATTTTTCGTATATTGAGCGCCTAATGTAATGTATGGAGTCCAAAACATTAACTTTAGTTGAAATTTGGTCGGTACTGTCCATGTCTCTCAAGTACAGCTTAACTAACTTTTTTCGGTACTTTTGTTTTATCACTTTAATGATACCCTGATCTAGGAGTTGTAACTTAGATGTAGTATATGGTGGAAAAAAAACAAGTTTTATATTGGTAGTGGTGATATCTTTAAGGTGAGCCGGACAATTGTCGATGAATAGAATAATTTTTCGCTTTTGTTTACCGAAAAGTGCATCTAGCTGTTGAATCCAGTTCATGAATAGTATTCCTGTCATCCAAGCACGACTTTGAGCAAGGTATTCACATAGGAACGTACGAACATTTTTGAAACAGCGAGGAGACCTACTTTTTCCAATGACGACCAACTTCAATTTATGGGTGCCGATAGAATTTGTACATATTAAAACCGTGAGACGTTCCTTGCTCAACTTTCCACCATGGCATGTCTTATTTTTAAAAACAAAAGACTTATCTGGCATAAGCTTAAAAAATAATCGGAATTCATCAGCGTTGTATACATTATCAGGAGCATAATCACGCAATAATTAAGGCTTCGCGTTATTTTTCCAAGAAGCTTTATCATCATTATTAACAGATTCAGCCTCACCTGAAATTTGCCGGTAGACAATGCCATGACTACTCCGAAATTTATCCAGCCAATCAGCCGATCCACTAAATTCGGTTAAGTTAAGATGTGTGGCAATCTCCATTGCCTTTTTCGTGATTACACCTCCATTTATTGGATAATTTAAACTGCAAGCTTGTTGAAACCACTCCAATAAAAGATTTTCCAACTTTTCATACTTCCCGTGTTTTAATTTTTGTTGTTTGCTGCCACCTAACATGCTGCTTTGTTCTATTTCATGTATGTTTTTCAATAAAGTTTTTAAAGTAGAAGGAGGTATCCCCAGTTCATTAGCAATATCCTTTTGTTTTTTTTTCTCAATTAATCCTTCATCGTACTTCTTCAAAATGTTAAGTTTGCCCGAAATCGATAGCCCTTTACGTTTTATACCACTAGCCATAACGAAATGACGGTTATACACATGCAAACAAACAGCACTTACTAAATCTCATAATACGATGAAATACAGTAAAAATGTTATAATAAGTAATGTTATAAATAGGTATAGCGATAAAATAAAACGATAAGAACACGTATAATACTAAAAATTCTATTTTTATTCCACAAAACCACTAAAATTTGTCGTAATAAACTGAACAAAAGAGCGTTTTACCTGATTAGACAGAAAAACTGAGCATCTTAACAGTTGATTTTTATATTGACTAGTATAAGAAATATCTAGGGACCGACGAATAACAGCGTCTTGTGTGGGAAAGCGCCTTAAGTGAGTTTTACTATATATAAAAGTGTCAAACTTTCCGGAAAATTTTCAAAACTCTAGTTGAAAAAGTTAATTTTTTGTAAAAAAATTGTCATTTTAAATCAATTCCTTTGGGCAGGTAAAGGATTAGATTTATAAAAAAAATGTATCAAATGAAAGCTAATGATATCATGCATCTATATAAAAAAATATTATATTGGTTTGGTTATTTTTAAAAAAGTACATACGTACCGGGCAAACACAACGAAGCGCCCGACATATTGTTACGTCACCCAACGGACGGACCCCCTGTTGACGAAGACGCCCTGGATGACAATTTGTTAGGCGCGCCAATGTCTAGTCTGCCGACAACCGATGCCACTCGATAATATCTACTCCATTCCCGAGGCAAACGACGCGATCTGTGACCGACCGTTCACGGGGAAAGGGGGGTACGAGAGTGGCAAAACAACGACCAGTTTCTCTCTTCGGTCATAAAAAATTAAGCGCGCAACTCACCATAGCGAACGAAATACCGGACGTGAATTTTTTTTGTTGGACGGTATTTTGCGTATTCGTATAGGCGCTGACACACCGGTAGTCGTCCCCACTGACAAAGTTCAACATATAATTTAGCGGTACCACGACGACCCCCTATCTTGTCACCTCGGATGGAGAGAAACGCATCGAGCGGTCAAACAACGATTCTACTGTAAAGGGTTAAGAAACGCCGTGCGCATGTACGTAAAATCGTGTCACATTTGCGCGTGCACCAAGCCCTTAAACAGGCGCCCCGAAGACCCGATGGTCAAGTGCCAACCCAGACAGCCGTGGGAAGTAATCAGTATCGACCTGATGGGACTGTACCCTAGAACACCAAGGGGCAAGACGAACCTATTAGTGGTAACTGACTGCTTCAGCAGGTGTACCGAAGCGTACCCCATAGGCGCGCCTACAACGAAAACGATTATAGACGTGTTAGAAAGGGAGTTTTTTTCACGCTACGGTTACGCGCGAGTAACTTTAAGCGACAACGGCCGAGCGCTCGTGTCCAAAGAAATGATCGACGCGATAAATCGGTGGGGGACAGAGGCTTGGACTACACCGATATACCACCCACGGGCTAATGCAGTAGAACGCAAAAACCAAGAGTTAAAAAAGGGACTTTGCGCTTTATTATCTGAGTCGAGTCGTACATCTTGTGATACAAAACTACCACCTTTGTTGTTCGCACGTTGGGGGGTCGTCGTCGATGAGGACCTTTCCCCCCCACAACCACGACCATAACACTGCGGACAGTAACGACGTCAATAACACCACCAGCATCATCAACAACACCACCAACATCAACCACAGCAGTGACGACAACGCCAACAGCTATCGTCAGCAGGCCGTCGGGCGTTTACGTAGACAAGGTGCTGGTGGATCCAGCACCAGCAACGACACCAGCCACCACCGCACAGGAGGAGCAGCCGGAGACGCCGATGGAATTGGAGGACGACGGCCTAGTATGGGATATGGACCTGTTCCTCTCAGTAAGTATTGCGGCTTGTTATTGTGTTATACGACTTTAATATATTTGACTTAAGCACCGTACCAATCGTCCTTTAGAGTACAGCGGCGGCTTGGTGGAGGGGTATTTGACACGGCTACGGTGTTGTCACCCGTTTGACACCCCGCGGTCGTGTCAGCTCCTTATAATACGCTTATTAACCAAAACAATGACGTAATACAGGTAAAAAAAAAACTGTAGCAAATGTACCAAAAGCTGAAAGCGGATCGGTTCTGCTGTCTACAGCGATGGATCATGTGGTAAATACACAAACCGGTAAGTCTTGTATGGCCTGAGCACTGCTAGATTCTGGTTTGATGTCTAATTTTATGACGATACAGTTGGCAAATGTACTACAACTCTATCAAGAAAAAACTAATCTCACCATCTTCGGAGTTAGTAATTTTTTTGTTAATTTATACTCGTAGAGATAGCGCGATATATCTTCTCGAGAAATTTATTTAATCTATTGTAAATAAAATAAAGGAGGGTTGATTGCCATACCATCTCTAAGCGAAAATATTTAATGGGGCTTGGGAAAAACCTAGACTGGCTTAAAGTGACATCATTGAAAATTGGTAAGTATTAATAAAACTAAGAATTACATGCATTTTTAAATTTTGTTAAAAAATTATTCAATTTTTATTATTATTATTTTAAGAATTAACGTGTGTAAGAACATAGATTATAGATAAATTAATAAATTCTATTAATTACAATACAATATAAATTAAAATATACTATAATTTTATTATTTTAACTTACTTTTAATTGATTAAGTAATCGTGAAAGAAATCAAAATTATCAATTAAATTACTTTGACTGACAATGATAGCATACGATTAACCGGTGAGGCATCTACAAAAGTTTTAGCGATTACAGTGTACAAAAGAGGTTAGTGGTGAGCATAGATTGTATTTTGAAACCTAAAAGGTATTAAGCCCAAAACTTCAAGACAATCAATCACTAAATTTAATAATTTATTATCCTTTAAATACCAACATATTTTCTTCTTATAAAGAGAATTAATATAAAATTCATTAGTTAATTAATTAAGTAGTGGATTAATCAACCGTATTACTAGAATTCGGGACTTAATGAATTATAAAATTTATTATAGTTATTTTATTTTATAACATTGTTTTTATTTTTATTATTAACAAAACACGAGGAAAGTAATGTACGAAGAAAAAGAAATTTCAGAATTAGAAGATATACAGCAATTACTGGTTGAAACTTAATCTTAAAAATAAAATGAAATTATTAAGCCCCCCAAAAAAATCCTTATTAGATGATAGTAATAATGTTTTATTCAGTAAAAGTTTAAATTTTATTTTTGAAAAGAAGAAAAATTGTTTTTAGTTATGAAAAAGTAATAAAAAAATATAAACACACTTATGATCTTTTTTTTATTATTATTCAAAAACAAAACACTAAAACTATAATACTACAGCCACACACTGATATTGATAAAGCTGGTTATTATGTGTTCAGCTCCTGGGAACTACTTAAGAGTTTTTAATACTGTTCGCCAAATCTGTTAAGTATGGATTCATTAAAACACACCCTACACTAACTATATTGACAGCCTTAGTATTTTTAAACGGTGACAGGACATTGATTTACTGTTAATGTAATCAATGGCGTAACCGGCAACTGATTTTTTTTTGGAAGTGAGCTATAATTTTATTTTGATTGCCAAAAACTTTTTATTCTACATAGCTATTTAAAAAATTTTAAATGGGAGAAAAAAGAAGTTATGACTTTTATTTTTTAAATTGAATATTGACGGTTGAAAAAAAAAATTATTGAAAAGAATTTTATTTATATTTTAACTAATGAGTTTTAAGCTGCTAGAAAAATATATAAATAAATTTAGCTCAATTACTCCGTCTATTTGTCGATAATAATAAAAAATTACTGAAAACAAATTTTTATAATTACAAATTTAATTATAAATTTAAAAAATTTGTGAAACTCTTAATGAATCATCGATCAATTAAAATTAAGTTATTATTATATGTAGATAAATCCATTAACTTTAAAATTTGTAATTGATCAACTTTTTCATTTATTTTTCTTATAATTGTTTCTTATATGGTTTTTGTATTCACACAACATAGCTATTTAAATATAAAATTATTTGATTTAAGATAACTTTATATTAATATATACATTTATTTAATAAAGTAATGTAACAAAAAAAAATTACATAAAATAAAAATTACAATAAGCTTCTAAAACGTAAGAAAATATTAAGAAGTATAAGAGTGAATTAACAAAAATATCAATTTAATGTGAAAATTAGGAAATTTTATATAAGTCATTTAATCAATTTCTTTCATAAGAAATTATAGAAATAGTTGGCCAGCTATAATTTCTTCTCTGTGTCTTAATCTTACAGAAGGCATAAGACTTGCATTTATAGGAGTTGTGTCTCCTCGAGCCATTTTTTCGGCTAGCTCGACCGTAAATGGACCACAGTCATAACCATTAGTTTGACGAGTCGTCTCACCGATTTTTAAAATCCACGACGAAGCTGCTCCCTTTTTATCCATCTCCCAGTCAGTTAGATACTCTTTCAATACCATAGGATAAGGACCATCATATGACTTAAGACTGTCATAAGATGTCACAGTTTTTTCGGGTACGTTTACAACAGTCAATATCCAATGTTCGCCATACACATTCATTGGCACAAAAAGTAACTTAAATGAATGGATATCTTTTTTAATCCATCTTCTTACTGCTGGATAACCTCCTCGAAGATATGCTGGTATAAAGTCAGTAACGACTGAATGAACTTCGCCATTGGACCTTTTCACTATCAATTTAAGATAATCATTAATTGTGTCCGAAGTGTACCAAGATTTAGGAGACTTAAACGAAAGCGCGTTATACTGATCTAGTGTATTTGTGTTCGTATCATGCGTCACTTCTACAAGAGTAAACATATATAAAAACTTCTCATAATTTACTTAAGCTTGCTAAATTGTTTAATATGAGTTAAATTTTTCCTAGGTCTTGGAATATAAGATTAATTATAGTTAAACAAAATATGTGTTATGGATGTTTCTATGTGAAATAAATATTAAAGAAATCAATAAAAAAGAAATATTAATTTACCTATTTCTTTTTCCGATATTTCATCAATTTCGACAACAGACACGGCAGGTAATAGTTCATTCATATTTGAAACCGAAACTTCAGAACTAACTTTAGATTCTTAAAAATTAATGTTTAAAAATAGTACTTAATTGTTACAATAAACTAATGAAAGGTCAAATTTAAAAAATAAAATTATTGTGTACTTTTTATGATTTTCTCATCTTTTTCGGATGAATTTCTTTTTAAACTTGAGCTTTCAGAAGTGTTACAGGATAACTCTAGTAGTTGCTCTTTTACTTCAAATTTTGTGGTTTGTAAATAAATAATTTTATCTTCTAGAGTTTCTTTTATATTATCAGTGGACACGTCTGGTAATGTAACGTCGTCGTTTGACGTTGTCGTATGAAAAAGTTCAGAACTAATTTTTGCCTCTAAAAGTATTTATGTTTTAAAATATAAGAAAATAATTTTTTATAAACATATATGCAGGTTAATATTTATAAAAAAAAAAATAATTTTGTACTTTTTATGATTTTTTCATCTTTTTCGGATGAATTTCTTTTTAAACTTGAGCTTTCAGAAGTGTTACAGGATAACTCTAGTAGTTGCTCTTTTACTTCACATTTTGTCGGTTGTTTATCAATTATTTTTTCATCTAGAGTTTCTTTTGTTTTATTATTAGGCACGACTGGTAATGTAACGTCATTTGAAGGTTCATCATTAGCTTCTAACTCTTTAAGCATTAAGGGTTTAAAGTATATAATAATTGTTTCAATAATCGAAATTTAGTTTAAATTTTTTTATGTACTTTTAATGACTTCATCATGTTCTTCGGATAAGTTACTTTTTATGTGAGGACCACCATTATCATTGGAAGATACTTCAATGGGTTGCTTATTTTCATCGCATTTGTTATGATGCAAGTGATTCTTATGAAAACTCTTAACGAATCATAAGAACATATTAAATTATAGGATAAATTTTAGTTAATTTATTTAAAAAATCTACGTTAAGTCAAAAGAAATGTTTAGCATACATATATATTCTATTAAATATAAAAAAATGCAGAATAAAATTTACTTTTCCTAATAGATATTTTGGTATTGGCGGTGCTTTGTCATTATTTAGAATTAGCATGCAACTCTTTTTTGCTGGTACTGATAGTTTTTCTTTATATTTTCCAGTTTTTTCATTCTTAATAAGTGTTGCAATATCTCCTCGCTGTATCAATTTCTAGGCGTAACCAATGGCAAATTAAAATTAATAAATGAAATATAATTAATATTTTATTATTATCTTCCATAATATGTCTCTTTTCTTTAAAAATCTTATTGGAAATCAACAAGATTAAGATATTAAAATAGAAATTTTTTAATATTTTTTACTAATATCTCGACAAAACAATAAATTTATACAGCTGCTCTAAATAATAACAAATATTAAATTATTTCTACTAAATTGTAAGTGTCGATATATCTATACAATTTTAATTACCACTTTTTCTGCAATAATTTCATCGCTTTCCAGTTGTTTATGATAGGTTCGTTTTTTTGGTTTATCTGTTTCTGTTTCAGTGTTACTATTTACACTAGAATTTGCTGTTAAGAGAATATTATTTTAAAAGTTATTAATTTAATAGTTAATTTTGAAAATGTTTACGGTGAAAAAATGCATTGACGTAGATATTATATCTACTCTAATGTTTATAATTTACTGTAATAGTGAATAATACTAAACATTTTTTAACTACAATATAAAAATAATCATTATTTATCAAAAAAAGAATAATCTTTTTTAATTTCTTGTTATATTTTATATCTAATCGTTTTCACGTCTCTTGATAATTAGTTTAATTAATCTTAATAGTGTCTAGAGTTATTAATTTCACCTTTAGACTGTCTTGATGTTTGGGGTTCTTCTGGACTATCTACGACTAAATTGGAACTCAAGAAACGACGATTCCAGAATTCTGCAATTCTGCGTTTCACAACATTCATATTTGTTTCATAAATATGACTATCCGTATTGTTTTCACTTGCCATATTAATAATTAGTTTAATAACTGAATGCTTACACGAGATGATAGCTTATTTTGACGAGCAAACACGAAGTGATCCCAATGTCAACATAGACAACGTTTATATATGATAAAGTCATGATTGTCATGGAGAGTTAATTCGTTGAATTCTTTTATTATAAGCCACTTAAATATTTGAAAATTAAAAATAATTGTAAATCATATTTCATATTGTTCATCAAAATCGGCACAGCGAGAGCTGAGATTGAATGGTAACAGACAAATTAAATTAAACACATTTTAGTAAATATGATACTTCACATCGAAGTTAAAACTATTATTTTTTTAATGAACTCATAATAAATGTAGGAACAGTAAACAATTAAATAGTATAGTAGTTATCATTGTACAAATCTTTAAAATCATTTATTTTTTAAGACTCTAGTTGAGTTTTATTTTTCATTTTATTAAAATTTAATTAATTCCGTCATTAGCTGCATTTTGATTTTTTAACTTTGCTTCTTAAGTATGAAATTTTGTCATATTGGAACTGATATATTTTATTGTATTTTAAGAAAAATTATTACATTTGATTTTACCACTATAAAAAAAAATCAATTTTATATACTATATTTAAGTTTTAACTATATTGAAATTATTTACAAGTATGGATCAAAGTTAAAAAAGAACAGTAGTTTTTGTTGTCCTACTCTGACAGATAAATTGTACTTTTCATTAAAATCTTGTATTGAACTGAATTTGTAGAAATGTTAATAATAGGTGTATAGTCTTCCTTACCCAAAGAAGGAAAAATGTCAAAATTTGATAAAATTATTTTAGGATTACAAAATTCCATTAATTCTGATTAAAATGGTTTAGTATTAATTATGATCTAGTGTATGTAAAATATCATTGTGCCAGTTTTATTTAAAAGTCTTCTAGTATTTAGGCATCGAGTCTAAACAAATTTTATAGTTTATACGAAATAATTGACAAATTATTGATATTAAGACATTCATGTAGCTAAATTGCATAGCTAACACGCCGTTCCATATCACGATAATAAACAATGGTTTAAATTAAATGGGTATTAAACAGTTTATTTACAAAATTTTGAATTAACATACTTTTAAATAGTATTGATATTAATATTTAAATAAATTCAGAGTTTTATAAGTTTTTTATTTACAATTACCATTTTTGAAGTGATCTTACCAATTTAGATGATTTTTTAAATTAATTTTAATTTTCGAATTTAATCTTAATTGTTTGTTTTTAACTTAACTAATTATTAAGTAATAAGTAATACTATAGTGTATAACACTGCAGTAATACTTAAGTACATACTATAACTAATAAACATAATAATTCTCAGTGTGACAGCATTTAGATCCGTTATTGGAATGAGACACAGTTCAAAACCTGTAAATGGAGATAATGACAATAATTATGATGAGTCTGATGATGAAATTCAACTAATATTTTATATTCAATATAATATTTCAGTTTTGTTTATTTATTTAAGATAATAAAAACCTAATACTATATTATTACAATTAGTAGTATATAATTAACATTATATCACAAAAAAACTTTATAGGTAATCCAACCCAACTGTTTGATGAAATCATTAATAAAAATTTTTCTTGTACATTTATATATAGTTGGTTGAGAATTTAAGATATTAGGGTAATAAAGATTTTTAATATTTATTGGTCGATCATATTTCTAAAATACAGTCATTTTTTTAATACCCGATTTTCAATTTTATAACTTTTGTAAAAAGTTCAAAAATGGCTAAACTAAAATATTTTGTTAATTAAATTGAGTTTATTTATTTAAGATTATAAAACTTGAAAAATTTAGACTATTAACAAATGTTTCAATATTTGAGGCTGCAATTAAACTTTAAAAATAACTTGCATATATTCTATGTATAGGTAAAGAAATACTTTTAATCTCATCATTATCATATTTCTAATCTAAATTTTTCAGATTATTAAAAATTGATATAAATTCCATAACTTTATGTTCAGCCTCTAAAGTATCACTAAATTCAGCAAATTCCTTACAAAATTTGATCCATTATCAGTTTTACAAAAAATTCCTTAATTCTAAATTTTAAGTTATTGATAAATTTAAGAAAATATTTTGACGAGAACATTATGTTTTAATCATCTTTAAGGGATAGTATTTTTAAATAACTGTTATTTACTTTCCAAAGTCAACTAATTTACTTGATATTTTTTTAAATAATATTTTCGTGTTATAATTTAATAAAATATGATTATTAATAATATTATATTTACTAACAAACACAATTATATCACACTTTTATACCAACACTCAATATAACTAAATGACATAAGTTATAACTAATAATTTTTAAATCAAATTTAAAACTAAACTTAGGTTAGGTATAAAGAAATAATGTTACTTTTATTTGTTACATTCAAATTGATATTCAATTTAAAAAATATCTAGAAATATTTAATTCATTTTAAGTAGATTATCAAATAATTATTACCCATTTTAGGTTTTATATTTATAGTTACAGTAAACTTATTTAATTTTAGTTTTCAATGACTGCTTTCATTTCCACAATAGGATATTATTTTAAATTCTAATCCAATACAAAAATAAAAGTAGATCAAAATATGAATACGATACATTATTGATAAAAACTGTTTTGGATAGTATATCTTCTAACCTGAATATTACTGGATTATCTAGATTAGGACGAAAATCGGGTAAACCGCGTCCAATAAAAGTTATCTTTCGGGAACCATCTGATATATTTGTTGTACTTAAGAATAAACATAAACTGCGTACTTCTCCAGTATATTGATCTATTCGTATATCTCCGGATCGCACCTTAATGCAACGATATCATCTTCGTGATGTTTTATTTAAGCTCAAGGAACATAAAACAGCTGGGGAATCAGATTTAATATTAATGTTTGTTAAAGGTATTCCAACTATTTCAAAAAACTAGTAAGAGAGCCAGCTCAATGAAACTTAAAATTTTACTATCAAAATGTACGTGGCCTTAACACCAAATTAAATATTTTAATGCAAAATGTTTGTTTATCTGAGTACGATGTTATCGGTCTGTGTGAAACATGGTTATCTACAAACTTCAATACATCGAAATTGGGTCTCTCCAATTATACTACCTATCGCTGTGATCGTAACCAAAACACAAGTAATCATTCCAGAGGTGGTGGTGTTTTGTTATCGGTTAATAATAAGTTCCATTCTCGCGTATTACCTGTACTAGCCAGTCCAGCCGAACTCTTATTATTATAGTAACGTCATCCCCAAACAAAAAACCCATTATCTTAGTGCTATACTATAACAGTATCACAACAACAACAATAATAATACAAACGGCCGGCATTGTTGACGTTCATACGCGAACACATAGCGCGTATTCTCGCGACCGACGATATCGTATTTCCGAATAAAAAATCAAACAAGCGCTGCGTTTTATTTTTGTTCATTCTCGCGAAATACGGTAAAGGACGTTCACTATGTCAGGTAAAACTTTGTCTCAGATGAATCGTCGGGAACTATTGCGCGAGTACCCTTGTAGACAGCTAAATGGATCCACGATGAAAAGCGATATGCTAGCCGTTTTGGAGAATAGTTTACGCAGCAAAGGGCTAGACCTATCGAACGCATTACGCAGGAAATCCGGTCCCTTTCACACAATATTACAAGTCGCGATTTAAACAACGAGATCATGCTAAACCCGTTCGCCACCGCACAGATGACGCGAGGAACAGTCGACACAAATCGTACTGATTACGCACACTTGCCGGAAAAAAACCGCGTAACGTTAGAGCCGAACAGCATGATCCAGAATAACGCGGCTTTACAACAACGTTTAGCGAAGATCGAAGAACACGAGGCGCTCCATATACAACGATTAGCCGGCTAGACCACGCACGCGTCTCCATTACTACCTCGAGCGAGCACGCACGAAGCAACTGTCCATTCAAACGCGCGCCCACAACATACGAAACATTTCGGGCGAAACACATTCGTGCCACCGATACGCGATTTGTCACCGTCCTCGTCAACCCACTCATATACACATTTGGCGACTGTACCGTATAATAATCCGCCAGTTTTACGCCCTCCGTCTCCTGAGTTCACGGGAAAATATGAGGAGGACCCGAGGGAATTTCTGGAGCAGCTAGAAAACCCCTTACTCAATCCGGTATTCTTTACGATTTGTGGGTGAAAACCGGGGTACAGTTTTTAAGGGACACGGCAATTACTTGGTGAGAGTCCATTAAGTTGAACAACATGTCCTGGCGCCAATTTTCATGGGAGTTTTTCGTGGCGTTCGATAATAATAGCATCCAAGCCGAGCTAGAAAACGAACTCATGACATCACTACAGGGGCGCAATCAGCGTGTGACGGAATTTATTATACATAAACAACGTTTAGCGATGCGCGCACGCCCCAGTTGTTCCAAGCAGCAGATCGTAGATCGTGTAATTAGTCTTTTACGCGACGAATATTACGGCAACGCGAAAATGCGAAGTCCGCGTACTCTAGACGAATTGCGCGTAATTGCGAATGATATCAACAGGCCCTTACGCACGGGTAGACTAAAAGCCAACTTAAAGCCGAATGTACCACCGCCTGCGCCTCCCCAACCACCGCAAGTTTTTCGACAGCGGGCGAGCGCGCTTAACGCGGAACGCCCCCCCCCCCCCTGCCGATATTGCGGAGCAGACCACTGGCACAGCAGTTGCCCTAATAGGCCGACTGTTTCGGGAAACGGGCAACAGCCACGGAGAAATTAGTCCGCTCTTCTGGCTTAAAGACACAATTCCATACGGNCAGCCATGGAGAAATTAGACCGCTCTTCTGGCTCAAAGACACAATTCCGGTTGACCCACAAACAAACACACAACACAACGCGCAGCGCGAACAACCAGTTCGTTCGTCGCCGATAATGAAATCGAGCGCGTTCTTCTCGGCCTAAATGACGAAATTTTTAACGACCT